CAGTAAATGATATACCAGTTATTGAGGTAGAGAGTTCTGATTCTGATGATAACACTGTTCTTATTGTTGACTAGAAAAAATGATAAAGTTAATAATTTGTGCTCTTATTTGGTTACACTTTATTTTTTCCTTATTTAAATGTTAATAAAGATTATATTTTTCTCTTACAAGTTATAAGAAAACTATGGTCTTCTATAACATAAGATACTTACTATTTTTAGAATACATCTTTTTCATTTACAATTAGCCAGCTACTTACTGGTCATATTACATTTTTATATATAAATACTACATTAATTTTTTTTCATATAATTTTTTAATACTTACTAATTTTTTGTAATATTCTCATGAAATTTGCTGTTTTATAATACTTCACTTTTGTACAAATAAAAATTTTAAGATAATTATACCCACATGTGGATAACTATATCATTTTGAGCCTTTTTAGTTTACAGTAACTATAGAGTAAAATATAAAGGTTCTTTAATATCCATCCACTAATGATAAAATAAAAATTAAACGTCAGTTTGGAAAATTTAATATTATTATCTACACCAATAGTTACAATTAAAACAGATCTAAGTACATGTTGTTTTTTAATGTATAATACTGTTTTTATTGTTGATTTTATGTAAAGATGTATTTTATTATTACCTAAAAATACTGTTAGAAGAAAAATCAGTCTTTGCCCAACACACCGCAGGGTTTATTTATCACATTTGTGCAACAAACGTGTCAAATGAAGTTCCTTATCTTGGCATTTTTTATCGAGGGAACTCTGCAAAAAAAATATAGATCAAAAATGTGTTGAAAAGAAAAATTTATTATTTGATGAGTAAAATCAAGTCATTATTTTTTACTCAGCAGTTAAGACTTACAAAACGCAAACAAAAATATGGAACATCTCAAAATTTTAGGATGATTTTAGGTTAATAATAATCATAGGTAATGACGATCGATTTGTCGATATTTGATGAGATAATCATCGGTTTATTAATCGATTATTGTATATTATTTGTGCAGCGATCTCTACAATATTAAGAAATGTGTAGTCTGTAAACCACTAATATCGCTTTCAAAAACGTTTTTTATTTATTTTTCTTTTNAAACATATATTTATAGAATCTTAAAAGAAGCCTTAAAAAGTGCACCCTTTAAATTAATGGAGTTCTTAGCCCAGCAAAATGAAGTAGTTTTGCCCTCTTAATTCCGATTGGCTGATGGTTAAGTAATGGCCGTTGTTATGCGCATTTAAACGTACCAATGGTAGTGGTTAATTTGTAAGCTGCAGAATGTCTTATGTCTTCCTGATCTTGCAATGTGGCGGTTGTGGTAAAAAAAATAACAAATTTTATGAACTTATTTTGACGAATGACTGGTAGCTAGGAATTTTTTCTTGTGGAGGGGAAACACTTGCTCAGCTAATATGTCGCTGTAGATACTAGCAAATAAAAAGCTAAAGTTGATGACTAAACCCTTAACTGTTCATTTTATAATAGGGGCGAGAGCCAGTATTTTTTCGAAAAAAAAAAATTAAAGGACTATCGGTTTTACGCTTATTTTCTTCTTCAAGTGCCATCTTCGTTCCTAAGGTTGGCAATCATCAAGGCTAGACGAATTTTCGAGACTGCTGTTCTAAACAGGTGGTTATTGGTGGTGTGAAACCATTCGCGTAGGTTTTTCAACCAGGAATGTCTTCGCCTTCCTACTGATCTTTTTCCACTTATTTTTCCTTGTATTATTAGTTGTAGTAAGTGGTATTTGTAGCCTCTCATAATGTGTCCCAGGTAGAGCAGTTTCCTCTTTCCTCTTTTTAATAGTCAGAATAATTTCCGTTTTTTACGCTTATGCAGCACATATATTGTAAATTTTTATAACGAGCAATTGCAAGAAGAAAACTGAATTTTTATGACAACGCAAAAATTACAATTTTCGATTGTAAAGCTGAAATTGCCGTAGAAATAGTAGAACTTATTAGGTTGAGGCTGTTTCGACGTGTATCAGCGAAAACAGTGTACAGTAAAAACAAATTCAGAATTATTAGACTGAATACGACTCTACGTACAATAAATATTTTGAATTCAAAATTCAAGTTGAAAATTACAGCATGTATACAAAAGGAGTAATAAAAATATTATTAGTTTAATGTTTTGTCGAGATGGGGTTCCGAGAAAAAAAGGAGGATCAGAAAGGGTTCTGTCATAAAAAAAAGAAATTGGGAACCGCTGGTCCACACACATAATCCCAATAAATTAAAGGAGACCCCTGTGAAGCAAATACATGGAAGGTATACGGAATGGCATGAGGAGGGTTGGTTTTCAGAGAAATAATATAATTTTACCATCAGGAATGGTATAAATCTTTTTCTCAAGATAAAAATTATTAAAAAAAACCTTAATACTGTCGACTTTTCTAAGGTTTTTCGACAATGGGTTCTGAAGGGTGCGCTCACCTCTAACTGCTCCTAGGACAAGCATCTAGTACGAACTTTATCAATGTTAAAGAACAATAAAATTCTTATTAAGTACCAGAAAGATTCGCGGTTTAAATATTTCTACAAGAACTTTGTATAGGTACCTTCTTTAATTAGGTATAATTACTTTTTCGTTAAAAATTCATTTAGTATCTATTAAAAAATTTTTTCTATTGAAGTGATAATTAAGAAGATACAGTTAATTTATAAACGTTTATGGCAATTATTTATAAGAAATATTGATAGATACAAAGGTTCAGTGTTGGTAAGGCTCAATTTTAAAAATGAAGAAGAATTACCTAACTGTAATAGCAAGTACCTACTTTTATACATTCCATAATTTATTCTTTTTATTCAAATAGTAGTCGTTAGTCATAATACGTAAAAAGCCCAAGCGGTCCTCTGGTGTACTATTGCGTTATGCGAGTATAACCTAAAGGGTTAGTGTCGTGATAACCATTTAATTCCAGCGTGTGTCAAATAAAGAGAAAATTACCGCATTATTACAAAAAAATATTTAAATTTCTCCTATAACCGTCATTAAAGCATTTTATATAACGTGACTAGTCTTAAAAAGTTTTAATTTAGTGAATTTTCTGTTGTTTACATATTTACATTAACTATCCTTTTTGTGAAATGTAGGTATACAGTATACCCACCTAAATACCCTGCATTTCGTAGTTGGTGCCTACGCATTTTACTTTTATTACTTTGTTAGAACTGTTCAACGCTGTCACACGCTTTATGGTTAACGGTTAAATTCGTACAAGTCGGTATTATCCTTTTTTAAAAAGTTATAACTAAAATTAAAGTAATAAGTACCCATATAATTATTGTCTAATCTATCTAAAGCGTATAATGCCATTAATAATGGACATATATAAGGAATCTTGTAATTTATCAAGTATGATTTTGCCTGTTGTGGAGGGGGTAATGGCGGTCATCTTTCAACGATTTCGTATGGGAACAAAACTTAAACGTTTGTTTAATTGTCAGACATAATAGTTCATTAGTGTTGTTTGTACTTATGTGATTTGTGAATTTGGGTGGTTGTGTATGTTATGAACATGGACTATCATCGCAGAAATGCAGTTATCCCAGTAAGTATCTTAAGTATGAGATAATATAGCCACAATACCTACTTTTCTTGGTTATTGGTTTATTATATTTGTATTTTATACAAGTTCTTGTCGCATTGATAAACTGTCGATTACAAAGGGAGGTTACTGCGTATCTTCTATTATTGTAACAAAGAATAAACACAATCAATATTTATACCTCTTCATGGGTCCATACCCCATTATGGGTCCAAAAATAAAAAATATTGGATAAAAATGTATGCAATGATTTGGTAGCTTTATCTCTTGTGAATTATATTTTTTCTGTTTCTAATATTGAATCAGTTTTGAAAAAGTTAATAATAACGTTATTTGCCTTTGTATTTTATTCTATCTTTACAGAAAATACAAAAAAAGTTGAAAATAACAAACGTTTTATTGAGAAAACTACTACCATATTACTTTAAAACATCTTATTTACTCTGGTGTGAATTTTTAATAATGTCTCATATAGTTTTGTGTGTTGTATTAGAAGCTAAATTGTTATTTAAATTTTTGCAATCTAATTGCAAACTGAAACTTCAAGCAACTAAATTAACACATTTACAAAAAGTCTCCGTCAGTAACTGTAATATCTATAACAAGATAAAAACTGCAGTTAACAAATTTGTTCGATATATTAATGAATATAAACAATTAACAATGTTTTAACAGTTTAAAATAATAATGTCGTGTGTCAGAGAAAAGCTTTACAATATTATGAGAAGTAGGAATGTAAGGTGTCCCAAAAACAGGTGGAAGACTAGAAATTACCCTTATAGCCCTCTAAAACTTAAACTATATTGAAACCCCCTCATACAGAATTTATAATTAATCTGTAATCATTAATCAATAACATGAAACTTATTTCGATTGCAATTTGAAAAAAACATGATACACATACCTACTTAAATAGTTTTTTCTAAATTTAATATTGCATGTTGTTATTAGTACTAAAATGGCAAAAAAAAGAATGAAATAATTTATATAACTTATCTAATTTTTTTGGAACACAATGTAGCAAACAAGACAAATAGCTTATTGGATTAAAACCTGTTTTTTAATGGTCCATTATTCAACTGATCTTTTTCACTAAGAATGCTAAGCATAAATATATTTATTTATAGCACTTTATAAGTAGGAATTATGGACTTCTATCAGGAACTGACTTCTTAAGCCAATACTTTCTTATTAGCATCTTCTACATAACACTGTATTAATTTTTGAACAAGTTAATATTATTCTACCCTGTCATTTTTTTGTATTGTACATTAAACTTTTTCCCCTTTTGAAATGAGTCGGAACAGTTTAGAAACGGATACTTTTGTATTAATATGCCAATATTAATTAATAACCAGACATTATTCGGGATTTGCAATTTAATTAAAAATTAAGATTTCTTTATTTAAAAATATTCTTTTTAGTTTACCTTTAATACATTTTTGGTAACTAAACCTGTAATACTAAATCAATTAGATAATTAAAATAGGTACATAAGTAGCTGTGTAGTTAAAAATAACTTTAAATTTCTAACAAAACCAATAATTTAGACCAAAAATTCCACTTTATTTCATTTCTAATAACCAGAACAATTAGTAAAGTAAAATGCATAATACGGGGATGTCTGCTCTTGTATATACTTAAGTAAACCATAATACTAAAGTTAAATGAAATAGTATAAATAAAATCACGTAGGTAATTGCTTGCCCATTTTAAAATAAAAAACTAACCATTTATAAGAAGAGAACGTTATTCTTACTTATTTTATAGTTCATAGTTTTCTATATAAAAATTTCAGAAGATTTTAAAGCAAAGACGTAAAATAAAAAATACAGGAGTTATTTCAGGGCTTGGATTTGAACAACTATTGTACCTAAAGAATGTGGTTACTAAATGGTAAATATCTCAGCATTTTTCTATTAAAATTTGGCTAAGCATAGGCTAGATATCATGACGTTTGATTGCATAAAGTTTCAGTTTCTTCTTTTAATTTTAGTAAAGCTTCTTGTATCATGTCAGTAATGTGCTTTCGAGCTTCCACATCCGTAGCTTTTCGATCTTTCAACGATTTCACAGTTTCGGTAAAGTCTATGGGTTTTCCATAGTTAAAAGTCATGGTTTTTCGAAATTGTAAAATATATGGGGGATCATTGGGGAGAACCTCATCCATCCCAATATGCCAAATTGGTATGACTATTGGAGTGACTGGTGCCTCATATATCATCCTGCCAACCCCCCATTTCAGACGCATATTCTCTTTTGTAACATTTACTTTACCTGCAAATTAATTTACTCCCTTTACTAAAGTTTTAACTTATTTAAATTATTAAAATATTCCCCAGATTATTTATTATTTATAAATCTTACATAATTACCTTCTGGAAATATATGAACCCACTCTCCCTTGGCAAGTCTTTCAATACAAAAATCGACAGCATCTTGATATACTCCATTTCCACGTATCACAGGTATGCATTTACCTAATGCAAAAAAATAAGAATGTTCAGCACACGTATAGCAAATATCATGTGCTGCTAGTGACCATCGCATAACCTTTGGCCGTATGAGATGTTTAACTTGAAGAGTACCTACAGTAGCAGTGTTTTCAATGACAGATACTATTTCAAATCATGTTACTTGTTTACCCCATAATCCTGGATCATCAAAACAAGAGTGATGATTAGAAACAGTAATTATAGGTGTATTCTTAGGTCGTTCATCTAAAGCCTTTGACATGATGTGCAAATTAAAAATTTTAGATTTGTTCAACCATCCTACAATTTCAGGGTCTTCATATATTATTTATATATTGTATAATTAATTTGTTTGCTACTTACTTATCACAATTTTACTAAATAAACCCACTGCTATTACTGTAATTGTGCTAGCAAAACTCCATAGTCTTGAGGGGCTTCGTAAATAAGGAATTATCCAGTCTATATTGTAACCCATCCTTTTTACTATTACTTTCCTATTATTCAATAGTCCATTTCTTACTACTCTTTCATTGCACTGATATTACATGCAAAATTTATTATAATATTATGTAATTCAATACAAGAAACTGGACAGAGGTTAGCATTGTTTTTAAAACTTCCACCTTTGAATCGATAAATAATTATATATTCATTAATTAAATTAGACTACTATCAATTACTCACACTACCTTGTTCATAGCTTACAAAATTAAATAGCTCATGTTCGTCACAAATCGCAACAACCTTTATTACTTTATGTTTGTGAAACTGATCAGCTGATTACTGTCGTTCATTTTTTCAATTTTGCTTACTAATTTTATAATACTGATCGTAATGCTAATAATGGTTGTCACCACTTAGTCACCGTAATCATAGTCATTTCCTCCCTTAGGTAATTTTGAAAACAAAATATAACTCTTAATCTTTTCGTAAGCGCAATTACTATTTTAATTAACTGGTATAGGATTTGGAAATTTGGATACATTCATCGTACGATTTAATCAAATATATACCTAGTTGTGAGTTTGGTTAGTACTTTTTAGTCACAGTCATAGATAATAGATATACAAAGGGTAACAGTAATATCTAATAGTCAACAGTGCATAAGTGCGATTACATAACTATTAATACTTACTTTAAGCATTATTTTAAGAACAGTAGAATTTCTGGTAGAAGCCATTATAAAAAATATTGACAAATTCTGGAAATTATGAAAGGAAACCAAATGGTCACATATGAGAAACAGGGTCTACATTTTCTTAGAAAATGAGAACTTCGGCCCTCATCAATGGGATAAAGAACTGCATTAATGCATTTTGCTACTTGAATACAATACACCTCGCTTACATATTTTCTTTGTAGCTGACACTTTTATTATCAAAATTTCGAAATAACTTATCAAAATATTTTATATCAAAAAATTGTAGTGATATAATTTACTGTCATCAATAATTTATCAATTAACCTAATCATATCCGTCATTAACTTAGCTATAAACATGACTGATGCTGAATTTGAAAATGACGTTTATATAAAAAAATTTAAAAATAGTTTTAAATATGAAGAACCACCTGATGTAACTTGTACTAAAATATTTTCCGAGGAAGGAACGTTCTTGAAGTTCACAGTTTTATTTTACCTTAATGAAAAATGCAGTTGCCAAATGAAAATCAAAACACCTCTAGAGGTATGTTATATGAGGAATATATATTTTTTTGAATTCAACAAAGTTTTACTTGACAGGATCCAGGAACGTTACACCCACTCTCTTTAAAGATAAGATTAACAAATAAAGAGTTGGAGCATGAAATTCAACCTTGCATTAATTATTTACAAAGACAAAGATGCCCTGACTTTGTTGTATGTGTCCTTCAAAAAGTTGTGAATTTGTATTCTCAGCGAAGCATAATCATTAATATGTTGATGAGAGAATTTGAAGATCTCATTACTATTAGTAAAGATGATGAGAATGGCATAGTAATACACTGTGCTTTTAGAGAAAAATTGTTTTTCAAATCATCTTGGAAAATTAGTTGTGATATTTACATTGGTTGTCCCTTTGATAATTTAGATTTTGTAGTCAACAGAAGAGGTAAACAGTATAGAATACAGTATTTGTGTGATAGTTTTTCAAATAACCATTTTAGATAAATATTTCTACAACAGTGTAGTAACGTATATGAAATTACTGACACAAGTTGCAATTGCTTCTGAAAAAAAATTGCTTTTTTGGAGAAACATAATGAAAGAAGTAGAGACATTTCTTGCAGTTAAGTCAGAGATTGAAGTAGTTGATATTTCTGATGATACTGAGACAGTAACAGGTCCTATAATTGAGAATCGTTGCAATAACTGTACAGTAAATGATATACCAGTTATTGAGGTAGAGAGTTCTGATTCTGATGATAACACTGTTCTTATTGTTGACTAGAAAAAATGATAAAGTTAATAATTTGTGCTCTTATTTGGTTACACTTTATTTTTTCCTTATTTAAATGTTAATAAAGATTATATTTTTCTCTTACAAGTTATAAGAAAACTATGGTCTTCTATAACATAAGATACTTACTATTTTTAGAATACATCTTTTTCATTTACAATTAGCCAGCTACTTACTGGTCATATTACATTTTTATATATAAATACTACATTAATTTTTTTTCATATAATTTTTTAATACTT